AGGGAGGAGAGAGAGAGAGAGAGCGAGAGAGAGAGCACATGAGAGAGAGAGAGAGAGAGAGAGAGAGAGAGAGAGAGCGCATGCATAAGAGGGAGAGGAGAGAGGGGGAGGGGAGAGAGAGAGAGCGCATGCGCATAAGAGGGAGAGGAGAGAAGAGAGTGCGCGAGAGAGTGACAGAGGGAGAGAGAGAGAGAGAGAAGGGAGAGAGAGAGAATAATAGAATAGAGAGCAAGCGAGAAAGTAATAGTCAGCGAGAGTAATAGAGAGCAAATGAGAGTGAGAATAATAGAGAAAAAGTAATAGAGAGTAAGAGAATGAGTGTAACAGAGAGTGAGCGCGAGATAAAAATCAAAAATGTATTTTTTATAACAGGTGAAATATACATTTTTAGCCAATGACACCATATAAAGTATACCAGACTCCGATTACAGCTCGCCTTCAGTCTACAATGATAATTTCACCTTGACAAACTCCGCGGTGCCAGACAAATATCGCCGCAATGTTCCCAGTACAAGAAACGCTTGCACTCAGTTATCATAAGAGGGAAAAAGTAGCCATGAAAAAGACTTCACCCGCAAAAGGAAAATGTCTGAAACACTGGAGTTCTGCGGCCGAAACCTGCACCCGACATCGTTCCATTGTCACAATCACTTTACTAAGAATTCCTCCAATTTTTTTGGGGGGCGTCTTGAAACCATCTTAGTGAAAACTCTGCACTCCTGTCCATGTAATATAAGGAATGTGAAGAGTCATTCACAAGCAGCACGGAGGTTTTTCAAACCCATTCTTTTTTTTTATTCTCGTCTGACAATAGCTGGGTCAGCACACAGCGGGAGGGCTCAGCCGCCGCCATGGCAACCGCAGCAAAAAAGACAAACTTGTAAGGACTTCTCTAGCGCACCCTTCCAATAACTCATAGTCAGGATTTTTATTAAACTGCCCCCCGGGTGTTATCAGACATATAGGATAGGAGAAATGTATCATTAAAACCTCAGAATGTAAGGTAAAGATTGCCTCTGCGCACTGGAATTGTTGAAGAACGAGTCAGGGTATGGGGGGAGGGGGGGCATTGAAGAATGGAGAAAAGAACAGCAAGCAGCGGCCGCGGCTTTATTTTAACGTCTAAAAAGGTCTCTTTTATTGTGAGATGCACCGCTGGAGCTGACAATCACTGCTGGAGTTAGTTACAATGAAACCAAATGAACACTTTGATACTTTCTGCACTTCTGATTCCAAATTAGATTCACATGTAGCAGAACGTACATCCAACATCCAAGCTGAAGTTTAATCGGTTTATATTTTGCCTCCCCTGGTTCCGCCTTTATCCCCCCCCCTCTTGGCTGGCACTCGTGCAGAAAGTTTCTTGGGCAAACTCACCGGCCCAAGTGGCTCCGTCGGCTAACGAAGGGAAGGGGGGAGGAGTCAGGTGACGTAACGGACATAGACGTCACCGGACTCCCCCCCCCCCTTCCCTTAGTTAGCCGTCACGGACATCGACATCACTGCCGTCAACGACGGAGCCACTTAGGGAAGGGGGGAGGAGTCCGGTGACATCGATGTCCGTGACTTCACCCGATCGCCGACGGGACTCCCGACAGCCAGTGGAGAGGGGAGTGTTTTCATTAGCGATCAAAATAATTTTAAATCGATTAAAAAGTTTAACGATTAATCGAGAAACTAATCTTTAATTTCCACAGCCCTAATTTTCATTATATGCTTCATTTAGGTCTTGTTCACACCAAGCGCGGAGCAGGTGCAGGGCAGAGCAGATCAGATCAGTTGCAGACCGGATCAAAACTGCGTCCAATGTATTCCAATGGTATTTTTTGCTCCAGTTCACATCGCAGTGTGCAGTTCCAGAGTAGGTCCAGAGCAGGTGAAAAAACTGCAGCAAGCCCTATTTTACCTGCTCTGGAACGCATGCAAACGCATCAAAAACGCATGAAAACACCTGGAACGCACTGAAAGCCCATGTTAAACTAAAAAAAGTGTTTTTTAACAAAAACGGCCCAGAATGCATCAAAAACGCGGCACAACCCACTGCACTGCGTGTGCAGAAACTCATGCAGATCTGCTCTGCATTTGGTGTGAACCAGGCCGAGTCTAGTGCTTCTCTATGCAATGCAGGCAGATTGTAGCTGGTGGGAGGGGCCTAAAGGGTGCTGCGCAGGGGAAAGCAACCTCAACACTCCAGCCGTGCTCAAGCTGCCAATCCCATTATGCTTCTGGTCCTGGGAGTCAAGCCTGCGGCTGTTAGCATCTTGCTATGCCTCATGGGACTTGTAGTTCCACAACATCTGGAGTGCCGAGGTTGCCTACCCCTGCCCTAGAGACAAATTTTTTTTAGTGTTTATCTCTGTGGGAGTTATGTCTGTGAGAATCTTGCAATGCCTCATGGGATTTGTAGTTCCACCACAGCTGGAGGACCGGATTTTGGCTACCCCTGATATATGCATCTTTAATGAACAGTTAGGGGCAAAAGGAAGCTACTAGTTGCCCGGTTGTCCTGCTGACGCACTTAGAGTCAGCGAGCCAGACCAAACATGCAGTACCTCTTTTTTGCCACTAGATATCCTCAGTCTTCTGGGTTGAATGACACCCAGCTGTAAGTGCAGGGAGTCATGGACCCGCCCGCTGACGCTGACCGTTCATCAATGCAGAGAGCGGTGCTGATCTGATCATGCCAGCACCACCCTCTGCTTCATCCAGGACCGCCTGCCTTCCACTGGGAGAAGTGCCTATAACAGCCATGCAACTAGCACTTTCAGGAGGAGGCCATCAATGGCGGCCCCTCTTTGACGAGGTGCCTCCTCTGGGTTCTATTACAATCCCTCTCTGCAGAATTCGCATCCATCGGTGGAAATGAGATGGATTCCACCGCCGGCTGCCCGGGACGGTCCCCTTAGAGGCAGCAGACTGGAGGCTTTCCAAGCCGCTGTGCACAGGAAATGAGAGCCATGGTATGGAGGGATGAGCGTGTTTATGCAATCAGCGTTATCTCCAACGAGGGGTAAAAAATCTTTATTTCTGACATTTCCTTCCGGCGCGGATCGCAGGTGATTCACAGACAACACACCGCCTTCTCTTAAAGGTGTACCAGACTTTTTTTTTTAATGTCCTACTAATCCGAACGTCTGAAACAAGGACTGTTTGTATTGCTTCGCAGCCCCCGGACTCTTTTTAGATACCAGTAATGTTCCAATGCCATTACTCTGACTAAGGCCTTATTTACACGGGAATCAGCAGGCACGCACAGCTCCGTGCATGGCCGTATCGGGCAGCTCCCGGGAAGGACAGGTGCTGCGTGTGATTAGTACGAAGCCCCTGTCCTTCTCTAGGGGACTATGCGGCCATACGCCCCCCCCCCCTACGCTCACCTCAAGTGCGGGTCCGTACGGGTGCGCCGGCTCGGACGCAGACAGGATCCATCCTGTCAGCGTACGAGTACGCTCACCCACGCAGACATGCAGAAGCAGGTGAGCGTATGGCCGCGTACTCCCATATAGGAGAGGGGCTGCGTACTAATCACACGCAGCACCTGTCCTTCCCGGGAGCTGCCCGATAGTGCCGTGCACGCAGCACGGAGCTGTACGTGCCGGCCTTTTCTCGTGTGAAGGAGCCTCAAAAGGAGAAAAAGCTACAAATAAAAAAAAAAATGTTAATAAATTTAGGGATTCCTCAGAATTTTTGGTTGCCCTTTTATCTATTGAAGAAGACACGTTCCGCCTTCTTACCGCAGCCAGCGAGGAAGAGGAGGTCCCCAGAGAACAGGCAGTCCGGTCCGTCCCCAGACTTGCCATCCAGCACATAGATCATGTGACCAACCGTGTGACCGGGCGTGAAGTAGGCCTGAAACTGCAGACGCCCAACGGTGAGCTGATCCCGGTCAGAGAGTGGGCTGTAGGAAAGAATAAAAAATAAAATAAAAAAAAGGTCAATAAATAAAGCCAGCAAAGTAATTATTTATTACATTTTGGAGATCTCTCAAAATCTGGTCAAATGATGCCCCCAAAAACACACACAGGGACCACCCAGCCAACACGAAACTCAGATCATGTCCTTATTTTTTTGTTAAATATCATCAGATTGGTCGTTCTCAACACCCCACAGGTCCAAATTGCATCTCAAAAATATTTCCCCACCTACAGCTCCCAGTGCCTGAAATATGATAGTTCTGTGTAATGCAATAGAACAGGACTGACATCCACTTCATGGAGAAGATTGTGAGAAAATAAACATGGCGGTCACAGAACACTAGAAAACCTAAAAATAGATCATTTAAATTATTTATTTAACCTAGGGGAATAAAGTTGTTGTTAGACACATTTACATTGTCTAAGGCATTATGGTGTGTGCATTCATTATGGGGGTCTATTAAACAATTTGCAGAGCCATTCACCCTGTAAAAGCGTTTGTTCTGTGCGAACAGGGGCAAAAACAAACGTTGTTATTATATTTTCTTTTCAGGTTGAATGTAATATGATGCAATACCGCAATAAGGCCACAAGGTGGAGCTGAATAGCATATCGGAAAAAAACACTTCTTTCGTATGCTCTTCAGCTCCATCTAGTGGCCATAACGCTGTATTTTCAGAATCTCTGGATCTGATAGCAGTGGAAGTACCAAAAAGGTAAATAAAAAAATAAAAGATTAAAAACACTTAAAGCGGACCTTCCCCCATTTATAAAGCGAACACTCACCACCTCCTGATAGAATAAAAGGACATCCTGACTGTCACATCCACGGGCCTCTTGCAGGTCCCATACAGAGTGTGCCTGCGCATGTGCAGACCAGAATCGGTTTCTGCCAGGTTCCATACCAGAGCTGGCAGAGAATCCCAGCAATCTGCACATGTGCAATGGGGTCTGATGCATGCACAAACAGGGCCGGATTTCCCACAAGGCCCGGCCTCGGGGCAGCAGGGAGTAGAGGGGCAGCAGGGGGTGTAAAATTCCTAACTCCCGATGCCCGGGACATGCAGTTCTGAGCGCCGGGCGGGTAGTTGTTTTCTACATTTAGCCCTGCTTTGGGCAAGCAGAACTAAATGTAGAGCGGGGAAGCCGCCACTTGTTCTGTACATGTACAAGTGATCTCGGTGATGTTGCCGAAATCACTTGTATGCAGCCTGCAGGTCTGCCATTCTCCATGGGGGAGGGGGGTTTGGCGGGTACATTGAGGACCTGGCCTTGGGGCAGCAGAGAGAGTAAATTCGGCCCTGTGCACAGACACACCAAAGGACTTGGCAGAGATCCGTGTAATGGATGCGCATGCACCGGGTGCTGTGCAAGATGGATGTGTCAGACCTGCCCTGTCAGGAAAACGCTGAATTCCCCGGGCAGGTTTGTATTAAAGTCCCTCTTTCACATGCATAGCTTGTTATAGTTTAAGGGTTGGATACGGTTTCATGGGCAGATCTGTAGATTTGCTCAGAGTTTCCCTTTAATATACAATGTTGGTATATCACTATCATTGTGTATTATTGGAATTGCAGAGTGTGAGGAAAAGCAAGAATTTTTAGGATTTTTAATCAACCTGTATTGCAAAATTAACATCTTCTCTCTCTCCCCCCCACAGCATCCCATCCGTCCCCAGGATTCACGTACTTTGTCAGTTCTGGGATATCGTCACAGGAGCTCCCGAATACCCGGCATGACTTGTGAAGTTTCTTCAGAGATTTATTCCCTCCACTATGATCCCTGCAGACAGAAAGAGAGAACACAACATTGTGGGTAACATCACACAGCTATGGATGATATTCTGCGTCCCATAAAACACACACACACAGCGACCGCAGCAATTCTATAACCTAAACCTGTGCACAGCCTGACAAACGTTTTACCCTTAAAGAGAACCAGTCACCAACCGGCATGCGCCACAAAGTCTCCATTCTTAAACTGTTAAAACAGAGTACAGAGTTGCCTTTTTTCGGGACAACTGTGTTTTTAGTTATTTACGTGTATTCTCCCCCAGTCTGAGTATAAGTGCCAGGCTGTAGGAAAGTCTATCTCCTGCCTGAGCTCAGTGGTGAGACGAGCGGTCATAAACAAAGGCGACGTGAGGGTTACATCAAAGAAACTAAAAGGTTTTATAGACTCCGAGTTCTACTCTGTACCAGCTCAGAGAGAGCGTCCATCAACAGTCCTGAGCTCAGGCAGGGGGCAGGTCAGCCGCCGTAGAGGCCTAATGCTGGACGTACATGCAGCAAAGTTCAGCCGGTTCTTGATTCATGGGTGGTCCCCATCAGCAGCCGCCAGTCTGATATCCTTCAATCTGAAACTCTAAAAGGGATCAGGCAGAAAATTCTCCTCCAATCAGCTGCACCACTTTTTGGGCAGCTTGGCGGGGAAGGGGTGTTATGGACAAATCAGATTGAGTTTTTCGTTCAGGTCACAGGCTGATCTACTAGTATATGGTCAGCTTTACAGTCTTATCTTGCAATCATGTCATTGTATGGACAGGCGAATAGTAAATCATAAACTCAGGGATACAAGTCGAAGAAGTTGGGTATCATTGTGCTTTCCAAATACTCCAACTTGTAGCTCCAGGTTTGTACAGGAAGAGAATAAGAGCACACATCCCTAACAGTAATGGCTGCAGTATTAAAGGAGAACTATGAGGTGATTTTCACTCAACCGCATAGTTCGAGCCGACGTGTGACAACGGAACTGTCACACGTCGGCTCAATAGATCGGGAAGTGAACGAACACATACCGGCGCACGCTCACTTCTCGATCTATCCCTGCAGAGAGCCGTGACTGTCACTCAAGGCTCCCCGCAGGGATTCCCCCCTCCCCTGTCCGATCCTCGAGCGCTGACTGGCGGAACGGACGGGGGAGGGGGCTGGCACAGCTGGCTCTGCCTCTAGATAGGCAGTGTCCCTCAAGCCCCCCCGCAGGGATTCCCCCCTCCCCTGTCCGATCCTCGAGCGCTGACTGGCGGAACGGACGGGGGAGGGGGCTGGCACAGCTGGCTCTGCCTCTAGATAGGCAGAGCCAGGTGTCACTCACGCAGCTGAGTGGATCCAGACAGTAATGCCGGGATCTGTCTCAGCTTCGGCGCTCTCAGTATACCGCGAGCTGTAGCTTGACATATACTGAGCTTTGGGTCACGGGAGGATGCTAGTTTATGTCCTCCTGTGACTCTTAGGAGAACTATGGGGAAAAACACTTCATCCATAGTTCTCCTTTAAGTGAATGTATAGCTCAAACAGAAGCTAAAATAAGACTGGAGATTCAGATTCCTTTAAATGCCCGTTGCAGAGGTCTTTAAAGAACACACTTTTCATTTACAGTTCCAGAGATGGCCACCTAATTATATATATATATAAACAAAAACAAAACAGAGTATTGTAGTATGCGAATATACCTTTCATATTGGACTAACAAATATCCCTGGAGCCAAGTAAAAGGTTGCCCCCGGTTGGAGGCAAGACAGACACGCCTGAAAAGGGACGGGCGGCAGCAACTTTTTAATTGGCTCCTGGGGTTGGGCAAGGAAGTATAAGAAAGCTATGTGCATCCACAAGCCTGTAGGTTGATGTGTGTAGGAGGCCATCTCCATAGATGTAATACACGTTCGCAAAGTGACATAATTTCCCATTACTTTGAACACGCTGAGGGCAAATTAAGAAGAACAACAGGACTTTCCGGTTCTTGCCTTCAACACCTCAGGGCAGGATTTAATATAAAAATAATAATTACAGCCCAAAACTAATGCACTTTTTGTGGAAGGTCGTGATTGACGGTTACCCTGCCAGCAGCAGAACACAATGACACTCTAGCATTAATTGCAGGAGTTGCGCTTGATGGATTTAAAAGGTCAGAGTGACAATTTAATGTCTGTGGAGGAAGAGATGATATGACGATGGAAGTAAAAATAGGTCGGCTCAGGAGTGCTCAGGCGTAGAAGATGTTAAAGTGGAAGTCAAGGATGTTTTGTCCACCTGTAGCAATCTATACCCCTCGTCTACGAGCCTTTACTTTATAGCTGTGCAGCCATCACGTGATGTCCAACAAGCTCATATAGGGGCGATGGCCAAAGTGTAAACAAACTATTGATCATCATACCACTAGATGGTCAAAAGTTGACACCTGGCCATCAACCCCGTATGAGCTTGTTGGGCATCCCATTCCAAAACTATGGTTATTGATATGGTGTTGTCCCCACCTTTGCAGCTACAACTCATCTGGGAAGGCTTTCTATAAGATTTTAGGGATAGATTGTGGGGATTTGTGCCCATTCAGTCAAGAAAAAAAAACATTTTTGTAATCAGTTAGTGATGTTAGATGAGAAGACCTGGCCCTACATTGGTCTGTTCCAATTCACGCCAAAGATGTTCAGTACGGTTGAGGTCAAGGCTCTGTTCAGGACACTTGAGTTCCTCCAAGCCAAACCCATCAGACCATGTCTTTATGGAGCCAAAGGAAATTTCACCAGGACATGGAGTTGCCTAGCAGGTGGAACACTTGAGTAACATCAGCACCTACGCCTCTGACTCTTATTGATATCCAAGTACCACCCTACGTACTCAACCCTCTGCTGAGTCAGAGCTAGAGCTCTCCAATCAGTATGGATCATAAGCTTTTCTGACTGCAGAGCTTACATTAACAAGGGGGGTATATATGGACCTCTGTAGAGAGACCATTGCTTCCACACAGAGAACATGAGTCCTCCTCTACAGCATGCTGGCAGTGGACAGGCTTTTCTACTCAGGCTGTGTTCTAAAGAAAATGAGCTGCTTAACGTTGAATGCTTTTAGTTTTGATGCACCTGGAATGCCTTCAACTGGTTTAAACTGAACGTTCACCTGGGCTTTGTAAACTAACTGCATGGCCTTAGGTTTTGATGTGTTCACTGCGTATCAAACAAAAACTTTTTTTCATAAAAATCGTTGTTTTCAGCTTTTGTCCTACTTTGTTCCTTCTCAGTGTTTCTGATCTCCTTCAGACTCTTTTGCAGCCACGTCCTGTCTATATGCACTCCCGTGATGGCTGCATGGCCTATGGGTTTCATGATGGAGACAATAGTGGATCATGCCTGTGTCATGTGTTTAGCAAACACTTGTCTCCAATGGAAGCCAGTGTGACAAGGTGGCAACACAGAAGCACAATTGGGAGATATTGGCTGACAACGTTCTGCCCCTAACAGGAAGTGTCTGAACAAGGAACTTCATGTCGGGATAGCTCGGGATCATTGCAAAGAAAGATACAGCTTTAGTAATATAGAGTAATAGAGAGTCAGAGATGGTACATACCAGTGTTTATGAGTACAAAGTATTGCTTCTAGGGTGACACCTTCTCGGTCCAGGTATGCCTGAAAAGAAAAAAAAAAAGTTACAAAGTTACTAAAAGACTGTCTGGTGGAAAAGTTGTCTTAGAAATAATTTGTGTTCAGTTCTTGAATGCTTAGGTCAGGTTCACATGGTTACAATGGATCAAGAGACACCATTGACAAAAGGCATCCAAGGGAGAGAAAAGCTGGAGAAGTCGGAAAACCATAACCAATTGCTATTATTTGCCCTCCCCCCCAATACACCAACATGGCTGCATAACTCATACCCACCCTGCTCAATGGGCTAAATTCGGAAGGCTGGCAAAAGCAAATAATGTGTTTAGGGACATGACTGTAGACATGGATGCCCAAAAGTGGTCAAATCATGTTTCATGTCTCACAGTCCTCTTCCATCTATGATGGCGATACTCATGCAGCGAGACTGATGTTCTGCAGCCCTCCGCTCCATCATTTAAAGGACCACGCCACCCAAGAGTGATATTTCAGTCTTAAGTGGTACCTGTGGGGCTCAGCTTACCCTACCCAGCAATATTTTGGGGACCCTTGTGTTGAACTATCCCAGCAATATACCGTGGCTCTGGTTCTGCTTACGTGAGGGTTTTGGATTACCCTTCAACCTACCTCTCACCCTTCAAAATGCTCATGACAACCTAACCACATCTCGAACATCTCGGGTGCACTATTAAGTAAAACTCCGTCCAAAAAGAACATGTAACAATGTTACTCTAACCACGATGCCGGTGCTGCACAGTCACATGACCATGCTTTAGTTGAGAATAGCTGATTAAGGGGATAGGAACACCTCGTATAAATACATGAATGGTTCATAGAGTGAACTCGGTGAAAAGTTGTTCCCTCAAAAGGTCATTGCAAAAAAGTTGCAAGGTCACTTCTCTGCACGAAGGAAAAAAATGTTTACCCTCCACATACGAAAATAGTTCTTTACATTGAGAGCTGTAAAAAGGTAGACTAGACTTCAACAGGTGCTAGCTATAGGCAAAGTGTAGATTGTTGCAGTAAAGAGCTACATGCATTTCTAAATGCACAAAATACATTATATGGTGAAAGTTTTGTGGACACCCCTCCAAATGACTGAGTTCAGGCTATTCTAGTGAAGGGTTCCGGTAATGCTACAGCATGCAAAGACATTTTAGACAATTGTGCTCTTCCAACATTGTGGTGAAGGTCCTTTTCTGTTCCACCATGACTGTGTCCTTGCACAAAGCCCGCTACATAATGACATGATTTGGCGTGGAGGAATTTAGGTGGCCTGCCAGAGCCCTGACCTCAACCCTACTGAACACCTTTGGGATGAACTGGAACACAGAATGTGAACCAGGTCTTCTTGCCGAAGTTACGCTCCATAAAAAGGACATGATTGGAAAAGTTTGGTGTGGAGGAATTTAGGTGGCCTTCCAGAACCCTGACCTTAACTCTACTGAACACTTTGGGATGAACTGGAACAGATTGTGGGCCAGGTCTTCTCATCCAACATCAGCATCTGACCTCGCAAATGCTCTATTTTTCCAAAGGGTACAAATTCCCATGACTGCACTCCAAAATCTGGTGGAAAGCCTTCCCAGAAAAGTGGAGGCCACAAAAGGGGGCCCAGCACCATATTAATGGCCATGGCCATGGTCTTTGAATGGGATGTCCAACAAACTCATATAGCTGTGAGGTTAAGGTGTCCACAACCTTCGGCCATAGAGTGGCTATTGATAAATTTGTCGATCTTTGTGCTGTTGAAGCAAATTGGAGAACATTTTAAAAGGATTTTTTGCCTTCCTCTTCCTCCGCTGTGGGACTATAGCTGTTTCTTATTTTAGTTATTTTGTGTCTTTTGAACTTTAATGGACAGTTGAATTTCAACCTAGCTATGCAGTTCCATATGAACCACATAGCTGCTACTCTACAATCTACTAAACCTTTGTTGCTGTGAACTTGGATCTGGTGCCAACTCTTATTGACCCTCCGGGCCAAGAATCCAACCTGTCACCGCCTGCCAACAGCCGAATGAGTGACATGAAAAAATATTCCCTTTAAGTTCCGCTAGATTTTTTCTGCGAACCCCCCCAGACATTCATCAAGTCCTCTTTATTTTGCATTAATGCTCAGTCTTCTATCATCGCAGCCTCTGTGTGGCCCCTGGCCCCCCTGCCCCATTTATCTTCGCCCGCCTTTCATCTGCTGCACAGTGGCAGGCCTCTTCCTGCTCCTGCTGTCTCCAGCTCTGTGTTTATCCAGATTAAACGGCGAGGATAAAGGAGTACAAAGCTGGGAGAGGAGGCAGAGGCTGTCCACGTCCCGTCCAAAAATAACAGCAGCTCGCTCTGAGCCGGGAGTCGCTGGGCTGCTGCGAAGATCAGAGGACAGGAACAGGTCCGAGTCAATTACTGATGTCCCCTACTTCCTCCAGATAAGGAGCCCCCCATAGGATGAGACAAATATCCAGATTATGGATCAGCGGAGGATACATTTCATCACGCTTTCATCCTCCGACTCTTCAGAGAACCCGCAACAATACGCTGCGTCGTGACGCTGGATTATTGCAATCCGGAACTCCGGGGGAATGGCTTCAAGAAAATTGCTGGAGGTGAAGATAGAACTGCAAGTTATTGCAAACAATAAAAGAACATTGAGACAATTCTCTGTGTAACCATAAAAGTGAAAATACAGGTTGTGCGTTTTATTGGCCAGAACTGCCAACACATGTGAGGACTTTGTCATTTCTGATCAGTCAGGTTTTTTTAAATGGAACTCCACTTTAGGGTTAAGTGCAGTTTGCCAAGTAATGTTAAAGTGTAACACTTCCAGAAATGTATTCTCTCCCCGGAAATAGTACTCCCCCTGGCAATGCCTTCATCTTCCTTTCTCTCTAGAAGGACGGCACCATCTTAGTTCAGGCATCATCAAGGGTCAACATCTATTTCCTGGACTGAGATGTTGGCTCAGAGATAACACAATCGTGTAAATCTACGTGGCTGTGCAGTTATTTTCTGCCTTAACAAATGCAGCCCCTCACCTTGTGACTTACTATAAAAGTAGATACAATGTTGCAGTCTGATTACTGGGGGGGGGGTCAGGTAAGACTGAGGAAATGATTCCTCCTGCCTGCAGCAGAGTTATCACTGGGGAAGGGAGACTAAGGAAATACTTCCTCCTGCCTGCAGCAGAGTGATCACTGGGGAAGGGAGACTAAGGAAATACTTCCTCCTGCCTGCATCATCTGTGCCCAGGCAGTCACTGACTGGAGCTCAGGGACAGCTTTCCAATTAGTTTTGCCCAAATCTCATAACAGCAGGTTAACAAGCACAACTTTTATGTACCTGCAGTTTCAGTTGACAAAAACTATTAAATCTTTTTGATAAAATAGACCACATTTACAATAACTTCTTACATATACACCGATCAGCCCTAACATTATGACCACCTGCCGAATATTGAGTAGGTCCCAGTTTTCCTGATCCGCCCAGCCATTGACTCCACCAGACCTCTGAAGGTGTGCTGTGGTATCTGGCACCAAGTCATCGGCATCAGATCCTTTAAGTCCTGTATGTTGTGAAGCGAGACCTCCATGGAGCTGACTTGTTTTTCCAGCTCCTCCCACAGATGCCAATTTGGAGGCCAAGTCAGCGCCTCAGAATCATGGTTGTGTTCCTCAAACCAGTATTGATCTGTTTTGCAGTGTGTCAGGGCTCATTATCCTGCTGAAAGAGGCCACTGCCATCAGGGAATACCGTTTCCATGCAACAGGTGTACTTGGTCAGCAAATATGTTTAGGTCGGTGGTACGCGTCAAAAAGTAACATCCACATGAAGGGCAGGACCCAAGATTTCCCAGCAAAACAATTGCCCAAAGCATCACACTGCCTTCGCCAGCTTGTCTTCTTCCCATAGTTTATCCTGGTGCCATCTTTTCCCATGGTAAGCAACACCCACCCACATGATGTAACACAAAACAAGATTCATCAGACCAGGCCACCTTCTTTTCTGCATTTTTTCTGCTTCCAACACATCAACTTCAGGGACAAAATGTTCACTCGCTGCCTAACATATCCCCCCCACTTCCAGGTGTCATTGTAATATATCCCTGCACTTCCAGGTGTCATTGTAATATATCCCTGCACTTCCAGGTGTCATTGTAATATATCCCTGCACTTCCAGGTGTCATTGTAATATATCCCTGCACTTCCAGGTGTCATTGTAATATATCCCTGCACTTCCAGGTGTCATTGTAATATATCCCTGCACTTCCAGGTGTCATTGTAATATATCCCTGCACTTCCAGGTGTCATTGTAATATATCCCTGCACTTCCAGGTGTCATTGTAATATATCCCTGCACTTCCAGGTGTCATTGTAATATATCCCTGCACTTCCAGGTGTCATTGTAATATATCCCTGCACTTCCAGGTGTCATTGTAATATATCCCTGCACTTCCAGGTGTCATTGTAATATATCCCTGCACTTCCAGGTGTCATTGTAATATATCCCTGCACTTCCAGGTGTCATTGTAATATATCCCTGCACTTCCAGGTGTCATTGTAATATATCCCTGCACTTCCAGGTGTCATTGTAATATATCCCTGCACTTCCAGGTGTCATTGTAATATATCCCTGCACTTCCAGGTGTCATTGTAATATATCCCTGCACTTCCAGGTGTCATTGTAATATATCCCTGCACTTCCAGGTGTCATTGTAATATATCCCTGCACTTCCAGGTGTCATTGTAATATATCCCTGCACTTCCAGGTGTCATTGTAATATATCCCTGCACTTCCAGGTGTCATTGTAATATATCCCTGCACTTCCAGGTGTCATTGTAATATATCCCTGCACTTCCAGGTGTCATTGTAATATATCCCTGCACTTCCAGGTGTCATTGTAATATATCCCTGCACTTCCAGGTGTCATTGTAATATATCCCTGCACTTCCAGGTGTCATTGTAATATATCCCTGCACTTCCAGGTGTCATTGTAATATATCCCTGCACTTCCAGGTGTCATTGTAATATATCCCT